TCTGAATCTCATGTCATGCTTAAAGAAAGCAACCTGCCTTGTTTTAACCTTCTTAACCACTAATTATTCACTATGTATTTTTCGCTGTACCTGTATCTTCTCAAACCATCACTTTTGTTACTCACTACAGACTCCTTTTATATATTTCTTTTCCCAGTTTTGTTTGCATTTTAACTTTTTTTCCCGCAAACATAATACAATAGCTTGATTCTATTTGCATCCTTCGTAATATGATTGTATCTTTTCACTTAATTATTTTAATTCTTTAATTTGTAAATTTTCCCCAGGAAACAGAATTTCCTCTAAAATGAACAATAGTAATTGATTTCCCCTTCTGTTCAATTGGCATTAATCTAGTTATTCAATATAAGAATCACTTTGAGATCTTTAGGGTGTTCAAAGTTGTATTTTGACCAACAAACTTATAATAAAACATGAATACTAACTTATTAAGGTATGAATTGTGAGTAACAAAAGGCAAATATTTCTTATTCTTCAAAGAATTTATTAAATATAATTAATCTAAAACATCTTGGCATAAATTACTGTTTGTCTGTGATCTGCTTATTTATTTATTTATTTATTTATTTATTTATTTATTTATTTTTGGGTGAGCTTTTCCAAATGATTAAAAAGATGGGAGGGCACTCTATGCCGGTTTTCATGATGACATTCAGGAATTTGTAATTGTTACAGAAAATAAATCACAGGAAGCGTAAGTTTGGCCAACAGTTTACTTAATCCTTAGAGTTTGGATATTTGTTTTTATCTCTATTGATAGATAGACACATGCAATGAAAATTTAGAAGTACAATTGATTTTAGGGATCTTTATTATAGGTCTGCTAAATTGTGATCACTGGCATTCAGGGTTTTCAAAAACATACAAATTCCAGTTACAATCAGATTACTTTGTAAGGGTACAATTAACAAAATCTATCTTTGGAATTAGAAACATGTTATGAAACAATGTAATAAACTTGCTAATTTCTCTGGCCAAGTTTCAAATCATGTTTGAATAATGTATATGCAATAGAGGATATGACCCCCCCTCTCTAGTGTTTATATATTAGGGACTGCCTGCCTACTCTTCAGGCAATCAAATGCTTTACAATATATTTAGGAAAAAAAACCCAAATAACCAAATTAAACAATTTACTTTAAGGCCAGCTGAATTTTTCAGTGCTATGGTGAAATAACTGAGCTATATTTTCAAAGAGCTGATGGAAATTAGATTAAATTGATGCTGTTATATACTTGCTGTAGCCACCTCAATCAAATGTTTTAGAGCAACTTTTCTTCTGATAGCTTACTTGATGTTTCCAGAGGCCCTGCTCACAGATGCAGCTAAGATCCTGTTCATTCAATACTGGATGCTGTATCTATGCACAGTGTTACTTAGACAGCTGCATTTTTTAACTTTCTCATCTTCAGCCTTAAGTGCAGCAGATAACACAGAAAACTGCCTTTTGAAGTCATATTGAACTCATTGACTCGCATCAGAAACATATCAGTAGTTGCAAACATTACAGTGTAGATTAAATCCTTCAAGAGTTTGAAGTATGCACAAAGGTGGAAAGACAGATGCAAAGGAATTTTTATTGTCTGGAATCTCTGAGATCAAAATGTCTTTGTCTTTAATGGTATATTTGAATCTAGATGTTGAAGTTATCGTGGCAGTTTAAAATTGCTTAACAAATAAAACTCAGATATTTGTTTGTTCTCTAAAGCTCGAGTGCCTTATCTTTTTATTACTAGTTTATTAACATTTTATTGGTATTGATTTATAAACATTGATAATATTAATACAAGGATGAATCTTTGCTAGGAATGATACATGTTCATATTAGTGTTTAAAGAACTTGTTGACTAGCTAATTTGGAAGACTGTAAATATGTATCATGGATTATATAATGAAGAGATTTTTTTACATTCAGAGATACAAAAGGACAAAGAAAGACAGAATGGAAACACATATACACTAATGCAGGTGCTAGCCAGTTTTTTCTATAAAGGGCCGGGTAGTAAATAGTTGACATTTTGCAGTTCATAGAGTTTCTTTGTACTAGTTTTCTAGAGCTGCAGTTACAATTTACCACAATTGTGGTGTCTTAAAAACAACAAAAAGTTATTCTTTCAATCTGGAGGAAGGCATCTGAAAATCATGGAGTTGGCAGTGCCGTGTTCACTCTAAGTTCCAGGGAAGAAGCTGTCCTGTGCCCCACTCCACTTTGGTGTTTGCTGGCGGCCCTTGGCATTCCTTGGTTTATCGCTCCCTCACTGTGATCTCTGTCTTCCTCCACATGGCCTTCTCTCCTCTGTGTGTTGTCTCTGTATCCAAATCTCCCTCTCTCCTCTATTATAAAGACACCAGCCATTGGAGTTAGGATCCAACACCATCCAGTAGGACCCTTCTTCACTTGATTACATTTACAAAGACCATATATCCAGATAGTCACACTGACAGACATGAGGAGTATGACTTCAACAAATCATTTTGGATGATACAACACAGCCCACTACAGTCTCAGCTGCAATAATTCAATGCTGTCTTTGTAGCCTGAACATAGCCAAAGATAATGCATAAACAAATGTATGTGCTGTGTTCTAATAAAACTTTATTTATGGGTCAGATTTGGACAGCAGAACAGAGTTTACCAATGCCTGGTCTAATTGAAGCAAACTGTAGTAGAGGGGGAAAATTTTCCCTTGCTTCAATCAGTCCATTTTTAAAGTATAAAAATGCAGACTTATACATATATATAGCAACACTTATTTTAGAATAGATGTCACCTTAGGGCAAGAAATGGAACTTTTATAATTATTTCAACTCCCAAAGCTCTATTACTAAAAATGTTTGAATTGTAATATTTTCTGGTCAATTAAAAGCTTTTTGATGATCATTTAGTTATAAAAGTCTATCTGGCCTTTCCTGCAAGGAGATCAAGACTATTTTTAAAACAAGATTTCCTTTACCCTATTAGAAAGACTGTACTGTGCCCCCTCCCACCATGTATACTCCACAAGGGCAGGGACGTTATTATTCAATAGTATATCCTCAGTGCATAATAGTCATTCCATAAATATTTATCCAAAAGTAACTTTAGTTTGTTGGAGTAAAAAGAGTGAATTGATGTGTTGTTGTTTTAATACTGTTGTATAAAAATAGTCTTTGTCACAATACTTCAAAATTATCTATTATCTTAAACTGAAAGGAAGGCTACAATCAGAGGAATCCAATTTCTATTAAGAACTACTGGAAAATTCTAAAGAGAATAATGGAATGATGAATCAAAATAGGTCAGTGAAAATACTAGTTGTAAAGAAAAATCAGGTTCATGGAAAGTCAAGATGCTTCTCAACAGCAAGGTGAAAAATTAGCAATGTCAGCAAGTCCTGAAATAGCATCGTTCAATGTCATTTTCTCATAATGCTGATGAGAAGAAATGAATCCCAGAGGATGTTGAATGAAACAATGGACTTGGTTTGATTACGCATGGTTTTTGCTTGAAGTTGAAGTTTTCAAGAATCTGTGGATGTTCAGTGAGGACTAGCTGTACTTTTCATTCCTGGCTCAGTAGCAGAGAAACACAGAGGCATCGCCATGTGAGCTAACCACTTACTGGCGATATATGTTGAGAGGCTGTAGGCTGGTCGAAAAGGCAGCAGGGAGGAGAAATTCAAACGTCTGTAAACAGAAGCTCTGGAACCCTGAGATCATTCAGCGCAGAGAGCTACACCATCTTCCCAGAGCTGGATGGAAGACGATTGCCATACGTGAAACTCCAGAAGATTGAATGTTGTCCGGAAAGAATCAGGACTGGTTGACAGCTTAGAGGTAAACCGAGCGGACAGCAGAGATGCAGTATCAGCTCAGAGACTTCATGTTGGAAGCATATTAAAGAGAGTTGCGATGTGTTCAGTGGTAGCCAAGGATGAAGAGAGGGACTCGAAATGGAAGAAATACCTGAGACATAGCCCTGAGATGTGGAGCTGCAGAGAGCACTCAGGGCCACGGGAAATCATTTGTTTCAAGTTGATGATGGGCTCTATAGAATAAAAAGGGAATTCTGGAAAGAAGTGGGATGGGGGAAACAGGGCTGAAGACAGACCCCCAGGATGTCCAGGTTACAAGGAAAAAACAAGTGAGAAGACAATGGAGGATCATTTAAGATGCAGATGAGGCCCTGTCAACTCTCCCTCTTCCAGGTCCCCTGTCAGTTGAGCAAACTCAGGGAAAAGAGAGAGAACAAGAAAACACAATCCACCTTGCTCTTTCTGGCTTATGCTTGCTGCAGGCATCTACGAGACAGGAACCATCTAGTAGCCATTTGAATTGACTTAAATATCAGAATATCGTTGATTAAATTCATTTTCTAGAGAGAGAAATGCATTTTAAGGAGTGGAGTCTGAGGGAAAAACCTTGAAATTACACAATTCAAGATACCCAGACTCCTAAGGAGTGTAAATTATACCCTCTGGAGGAAAAACCTTTGTCAAAAAGAATAAAATGTTCAACAGAGTTACCAAAATTTCAGTCTGAAGGTGCTCCAGATGGGCTCCTGCACTTCAAAAAAAAATTTTTTTATAGTAGTATGTTTCTGAAAAAAAAAAAAAGAAAGAAAGGGAATTTATTTGTGAATGAAGGCAAAGGAAACACTACAAGGGAAAACTTCCACCATGAAAGATGTAACGAACACATTGAGGTCAGCTTTCAGCTGACTTCTGTGGTGCAATTTGAGCTTACTAATTTTTTTTTTTTTTATTCATGTGAAAGATCAGCGTAGCTTAACCAAGCACCCATAAGTCTATGTAGCAGCAAGAACCTGGGAACACAGGCTATTTCCCACTCATCCTAGGTTTTCATTTCTTGCTAAAAGTTCATCACCTAGACAGGCAATCCTCTTCCTGCCCACCATTCTGCACATTGAGAAGGAAGTAGAGTCATCAGTGTTCAGATGAATGTTATGCTGACAACATGCAACCCTTTTATCTTTACAGAGAGGCCAATGAGAGTTGAACCCTGAGCAGACTGTACCAACCAGGGCTGATGAGCACACAGAGGAATGAAGTATGGATGTGAAGGAACGTAGGCCTTACTGCTCCCTCACCAAAAGCAGACGGGAAAAAGAGCGGCGGTATACAAATTCCTCAGCAGACAATGAGGAATGCAGAGTCCCTACGCAGAAGTCTTACAGTTCCAGCGAAACCTTGAAAGCTTTTGATCATGATTCCTCACGGCTGCTTTATGGAAACAGAGTAAAGGATTTGGTTCACAGAGAAGCAGACGAGTACACCAGACAAGGTAGGTCGTTGCTCTGGTCGGACTAGACTTGCTCAAATATGTAACATGTAGGTGTTACTTTTTCCCCTCAAGGTGTCGTGATTCTTCTCCTGGTTTGACATCCTGTCCTCTGACACAGATTTGGAGATATTAGAGGATCACATTGTTTTCCAGCCTAGAGGTAGAAAGTCACCTTTGCACACTCTGACCCTGACACTAGAAAATCATCCTTGTATAGGTGAGGTTGATGATCCTGTACCTGGCGGAAGCGTTCATGTACCAGCTTGAAACCCCAGTCCCTTAGCATCTCAGAAAGTCTCATCAAGACAGACACTGTGTTTGTAGGTACAAGGGACACTAGGAGAATAGACACTATTGGAAAGAAAACTCATTTTTCTTCTAAGAAAGTGAGAATTCTGATTCTGATTATCCATGACCTACACACCAAGAGTTTCTGTCCCTGGGACATTCAACTCTCTTGGGAAAGGGACCATTTTCTCTCTTGCAGTCAATGTAGGATATTGAATCATACCTCAAAACACCCTGGTTTCTTAGAATATAACCCATTATGCTTCAGTTCTTTGCATAATCTCTGCTGGCTCCATCTACACACTGTTCTGCTGTGTAGCCGGCACCAGTAGAATTACCACTTCTGTAACTTTTCTTCAGAATCCTAAACCTATTGATTCCCCTTAAATTAGTCCTACATAGTTACATACATTTTTTTTCTAATACAGACTTGAGATGCAGGCGAGATTACGACTAATGAAAATAAAATCCTCTTGCATTCCTATTGCACAGTCAATTCACATAGAACTTAGTAACCCTTAGCTAATTTAACTAGGAAATGAGGAAAAACAAATTAAACTTCAAAAACAAAGACTATATTCAGTCTGTTCCAATCACCATCCAGACAGTGCGGCTCATCGTTGGATATTGAACAGGAACCAATTTAAGAAAAAGTAATAATGCAATAAATTATTTTGTGGTTCTGTTCTTCCCTACATGGTGGAGTGAGCCACCTGAACTCAACTGAAATAGTGTTTATTCACCCAAAGCAGTTTACGTCAAAAAAGACACATTTAATTTGCTAAAGAGACATTAATTAGCCCCCCTTCACCCTGGAGTATACCTTACAAATTATAGATAGCACATTTTATAAAAGGTTGCAAAATCGCTTAATATTTTTCATATTTGGTTTGTAAGGGAATAGAGAAAGTACAAATTTTTGTGACATGTACTCTTGGAAATCCGAGGGCTTTTTAGGTCATTGTACAGTGTTTTTTCAATCAAAATGCAATTTTTTGGAATCACATTGTCAAAACAACTGATAAGGATTATGAGGGCACATTTTTACCCATTGAAAAAAAATCTAGGTTCCATAGAAATTCGTGCAACCTGAACCTGACGGGAAGCCTTGCTTTTACAACAAATACAACTGTTTAGTGGCCTATCAGAAAAAAAATGCATGGTGGAATTCTATTAGAAGGAAACAAGTACCTATTTGGCATGATACACTGAGGAGCCTCATCTCCACCCCAAGCAAACATTTAGTTTTGGCAGAATGGAGGATGCTTAAACCAGTTAAAAATAGCAAGCTGAAATTGTCACCTCCCTGGCAACCTTAATCCAGTGCACACTGCTGTTGTCAAAATGGTGCTACCATCTGTGGAAACCCTGAAACCAAAGTTCTTCAGGGACCAAGAAGTGCTATTGCTCAGTTTCCTTGCAAGCCAAGGACCCGGATGGAAAGGGACCTGGGAAAGGGAGAAAGAGCAAGCAGCTGGTCCAGGCTTCTTGTCGGGAGCAGCTGAGTGGAGCAGAGAGACCAGACTTAAGAGCAGGAGTGAAAGGAAAAGCAAAAGTGCAGTTTACTTGACATGTTCATAAATCAGGAGAAATGAAACACAGAAATGGAATGCAGTGCTAATTACAGCTCTTGAGCACGGGTTCCTTCCCAGTCAGTGTGCTGAGCAGGTGCGAGGTGCTGTTTAAGCCTCACCGTCACCTGGGGTGTCTCCTAATCATAGCAAGTGACCAAATAGCAGCCTCCCTTCCATGGGGATTTGAGGCTGGAGAGATCAAGCTGGGGATTGAACCCAGGTCCGCCTGCCCCTGCTACCCAGGCTCCCAACTCCACACAGGTGCCAAAGCAGCAGACACACAATTCATGAAAGCTGGAGTCCATTGTCTATTTTGATAGTGTGCATAGACTTCGTGGAGGAAACTGGACACACAAATAGGAAATAAAAGTGATAGGATTTGGGGGTTGGATAGGTGAGGATGAGAGGCGAGTCTTGCAAATACGTTTTTTCTTCCTGTGTTTTGATGTGGGGAGTGTTTGTGGCAGGCATGAGGGTTGTAGGAGAGGAGTGAATACGGAAAGTCAGCTGCCCAATGAGGGTTTTTGGAGCAAGCATAATGAATAGCCTCCTAGGCTTCCTTTTTTTTTTTTTTGAACCTGACAAATGTCAATTTTTCCTCACTGCCTATTATGCTGTGGGATTAATTATTTAATTGACAAAATGTGCTTCCTGCCACAGTTCCTGCCATCAGACACGTAATAAAAATGAAAGATTAAAAATATTAATAGTAGCCAAAGATCTTTGAAACAATTCCAAAGAATCATGCTAATTTAGCTTGTCCGTGGAGTCTTAAAACAGCTTGTCAGTCCTCCATCCACTTATTCTTTAAATGACACGAGAAAATGCAGCTTCAGCTGGAGGAAGGGATACGTGGAGACCCCGTGAATGCAAATGCATGGAGAATTCCAATCTAGAACTATCTGTTACTTTTTATCGACCAATTTTACGGCCTCTCATCAAACTTGATTTTAATCATTTTTTATGGCTTTCCTGACTGACAGGTGACTATTATTAATTGCCTGTTCTATTTGGCCACTGTAAAGCCGGGGATGAGTTCATCCTCACAGTAATGTGTCATTTGGCTGGTTTTTACACCCTCTCTTTCTTCCTCTTTAAGTTTCTTCATGGGGTTGGTTGGGTGTTGGAAATAGTTGCCCTTTCAGATCTCCATAGGTGCATTGGGGTTAGGGTACTCAGACTTGTTTTGCATTCTTGGATACTCCTCCTTAATCTGTCTTTGAAGAGCCTTTATCCCGCCAGGTCTAAGACACATTGCTTAGGAAACAGCTGCATGAGTTCATCCCACAGTTTTAGAGAAGTGATAAAAGATCTTTTTTTTCTCAACACTGTGTTCACGGCCAGGCGTGCTGTTGAGCAAAGGAGCATGTTGTCTTCTCCTACAAGGAACGTGGGTGATGGGGTGAATTTTGAATGAGGTGGTATTTGGAAATAAAAACACTTTTGTTCCACTGATGCATAAGCTGGAGAGAACACTCCTGAGATAATCTGGGCCCCAAATGTTTAACACTTAGTAATCAGTGCCGCAGTGGTGAATGTCAGGATTTCAAAATGAAAAGGACGACCATTTGTTCTTCATTTACAGAACTGCAGTGAGAAGTAGGTTATATGAAGTTGAAAAATAGCACCGTGACTTTGTTTATACCTGCCTGAAATCAAACTGGAAAATACCTTTGCAAATCAGGGAAGTGAGGAAGGCAGGCAGGTAGACAAAGACAAGCACTCTTTGGTTCCCGAGTGTGACAACTCTGGCCTTCCCTAATAAGATCCCAGGTGCTCCCCTTTTTGCCCACTTTTCCTTTAGGATTTGCTCCTCTTCTGGGTCATCAGCATCTGTTGCTGCCCAGCAACCCCAGCTTCCACAAACTTGGATCTCCGTCTCACTGCATGACATTGCTGGGCTAAGGCCGGTTGAAGTGTAATATGGGGGAGAAAGTAGATCCTCAAGCTACTGGGCTGCATCCCGAGCCCCAGTCCATCCCGATGCTGGACCTTCCCTTCATCTGGGACAACCCTTTTGTGTGAAACAAGAGGACATCAGAGGTGCAGCCAGAACTTTCCCGTCTAAGCATGTAGCTAAGACGCCAGTATAATGGTAGCTCCTCCATCCATCCACCAGCCAACAGCTGAAGTCCTGGAGCTGAGCTGGGTGCAGACGAGATCTCCAGCTCCACGAAGTCCCAGTGGACAAGGCTGATGCAGGTGGTTTCCCTTTGGGCTAGATAAGAGATCAGAACAGGAGGCTGGAGGAAGATTAGCAGTGCTACAGCTTCACTGCTCAGAGCAGGCGGCCTCACCTGGGTGAAATGGGAGGAGCAGCTGCTCCCTTGGCTCCTCGGGAGCTGGGGGAACCTACAGAGATCACTTTTCCCATTCTGTATGGCGGGAGTGGCCGCTGAGGAAAGCAGAGGGTAGAGACTTGTTCCTAAAGGCTCACAGGACGTCCAGCACTCCAGGAAAGCACTGAGCTGCGCAGAGGCACCCGACGTGCAGGAATGGGGACAGGATGCCAAAGGGATTCCAAAAGTACCAAATGAAACTAAAAAATAAAAATAAGCAATGGAGAGGACACATTTAACCAAATAATAATTATAATAACAGCACTGGGCCTCCCTGGCACCGCAAGGGGTTAAGCACAGCACCCTGAAGCTGTCGCAGCCTCTGCAGCACAAGTTCAATACCCGGCCAGGGAGCTACCAACATGGTACAGCAGACCTCTCCTGTCACCCCACTGCTCCCCTCAGCAGGATATTTCAGTCGATCTGCCTGTTCTGCTCCCCACTCTGTCTCTGGTGAATCCTCTCACCCTTCACACCTCTAGCCTGTACCCCAGTTCTTGTATGCATAAATAAATAAATCTTAAAAAAATGATAAAACAATAACAGCACTTATAGAAACCTTATTACCAAAAAGAAAGCAACAACGCAACCAATACTAACAACCAAACTGGAGGTTAGGGGTAGAGGTGAAGGGGCAGTCAAAAATATGGTAGATTAGCTGAATAAGAGAGAATGGTCTTTGTTGAAATCCAAATTAGTGATTTTAAGACCAAACAGAAGAAATTATTCAGCAATAAGACCAAATAGAAGAAATTATTCAGCAAGAGAAAACAGTTTCGGGTAACATGTAGAAGAACAC